TCCGTACCCAAACTCGGTAACCATTACCATGACCATGCATATGATATCATAGCCATATCAGGTATCGCGAGATATCATATGCATGCTGTAGACGTGGGTTCTGAGTGGCTAACTGTGAATTCGGGTTATACTTATGAGTTACAAGAACTTTGTGGGACTTGATTTATAATTATCTCTTTTGGATGCCTGGTGATCACCGTTTTCCTTTAAATGGATAAATTTCTAACTTCGTTCACATAATTCACAGAAAAAAAACAAAAAAAACAAAAAACTGGTAGTTCGAAGTATTATTAGTAAATGGTTTGAACGCAGGAGTATCAGTACTTCATCGTGAGTGATCGATATCGTCCGGGTGAGGGTAGTTCTGAACAGAACTACTAACTATTCACTTGACTGTGTGACGAAAACGCGCCACAAAGGTGGGCGCTCTCTAACAAAAAAGAAAAACGAAAAAAAAAGCACTAAGCATAAACATACGCGAGAAAACACGCAACAACTACAGAAGTCTACAAGCATTTATTACAACGATTATACCAAAATAACATCATACTTTAAATAGGGTCCCTAACAATGATACAACAAGCTAAATAATTAATCTTAATTTATTTACAAGATTGTGATAAACAACCTAAATACTTCAGTACACTTAATCTACTTACAAGAATATTCCTTAAAAAAAGTAAACGTTTCAGTAGTTCAGTTCAGCTCACCTTGCGTCTGAAGTCCTTGTCCTGGAACTTGACCCCAACAATGTTCAACCAACACATGACACACAACGAACCAAACAACCAAACTCCCGTTTATTACTCCCACTTTTCAACTTACTTCTTCCGGTTACGTCTTCACCCAGTCCGGTATACTTCAACTGGACTTCTCCGGTTTACTCCAGCTGTCCGGTTTACAACGGCCTACTTCGACAGAACTTTACGCGTTCCCCGGCAAATGGCTCTTTGTCGTGAATTTAGGAATGGTTTACTGATCGCTTCTCAGTAATGAAAATGTGCTTCCGGACGTGTTCCTGCCACTTTCTAAACTCGCTCGTAACTACGCTTCAACCTTTTTCTTCTACACACGGAAGAACCTCTCAACACGTATCACCCCCAAAACCCTAAATATGCAAACGCAAGGTGTAAAATGAGAGAAAGGGAAAGGAAACTATTGGATAAAGATTGATTACAAGGGCATACAACAGAACTGGTTACACAGTAAAAGAATATAGGTTACGTAATAGGTACTACAGAATAAATACAATTTTAAAAGCTGATGCTATGGGAATTATATAATGAAGCAGCTAGTTAATGAATAAGATAACACCTTAATAAATTTAATTCTAAATACTAAGCTTTCCATGACACTCTGAAGAGGACTTCCGCTCAGGTTGACGAAACGTCAGTCACCAACAACAGTTCTTTTCAGAACTAACCCCACCTGGACGATCACACAAAGGCGAACTACTTTTATATGTATTTTCAATTATTTTCGTTGTTTTCCTTGACATGCGGCGGTAGCATTTGATCGACAATGACAGTATGATTGAAGTAGTATAATTTGACCTGAAACAAATTTAATCTCATTCTCTTCATACAGGCGAGCTTGGTGGCAACATGGGCTTGTTCCTTGGGTGCAGTATACTGACGCTCTGCGAGTTCATGGACTTTCTGTGGGAAGTTCTGATGTCCAAGATAAGAAGGCATCCCACAGATGTAACCGCTGAAACCAATAGTGGATCTCATTAAGGAATTCTAATGTAGCTGAGTCACACAAAAGTCGTTTGTTAGCGGTGTTTATTGTATTCTTATTCCACTAGCTAGAAGACTGATTTTACAGGAATTAAATCACGAATGGCGAACTTTTAGACATTCTGCTTTTAATATAATTTTTGGTTTCTGGTTGTGCGTAGGAATGAACCGTTATATAGATGATGGCAGAGGGGGAAGGGGTGGGGAATTCGAAAATGATGTGAAGTTACCAAAAAATCCTGCACAAAAATAGTGACAAAAATATCGCGTAAAGGGAGCCACTCAGAGTAGACATATGGAGCAAATTGACAAAATTCTTTCACGACCTGCTGACGCTGTAAAATTTGCCTAACTCCCGTGGTCATTGTTGGAAACAGTAAAGATGAAGAGAATTGTTGATGCATGTGCCTTACCAAAACTCCCTCACGAAAACGTGAGAAAAAATATCGTGCAAAGTGAGCCACACAGATGTGAACTAATAAACAAACTAACAACATTCTTGAACCACGCGTCACGCTAAAAAATAGACTCTTTTACAAAAAATTTGCCTAGCCCCCGTGGTTTTCGTTAGAGGTAGTAAATAATATGTAGAGTTATTTTTTACGCCCACTCTTCTTTAATTAGAAGTACCTTGTTACGCGATACATTTTGAAACACACAAGGCAAGCAATGTTCTTTCTACATTATCCCTCAATAACCCCTCTCGATCTGATAAAGCAAATTTGTATTTGACTGAAACAAACCAAAACATTCCGGAGTCAATTATTTAAATATATTTCATGAGAATGGTGGACAAAGCTCTTTAAATGAAGAGCTTAATTTATTAATATTTTGGTTTTCTTGCACACATTGAGCGTTTATTGGATCGTAACTGTTAAGCAATATTCTCTCTTGTTTTAAGTTTTTCGTATTATCCAAATTAAATAGACCCTTCAGTTATCAATGCCGATGAACCTCAGATTTAGAATGAAAGGTAACATTGTCACTTCAATGGAGTTTTTGTACTTCTAATTAATTTTTACCTTTTAAAACACCCGCATAAATAATGAATTCAAGAAATTTTTAAGAAGAAATGCTCTACTTTTAGCAGTGTGAGTACATGTATTATAAGCTTAGAAACACTGCAGGGCAGAGAGTAAACTATATTCAACGTTTAATTGACAAAAGTTGGTGTTGTAGATTTAACTTGGTAGGAAAGCAATCTTTTTTTTAATCTATGTTTGTTTTGGAGATGAAAACTGTTCCAGCTGGGTAGGTAAAGAAATCTTAAATCGTTAGTAATGAACAACCATTGTTTGGATTAAAAAAAAAAAAAAAAAAAAAAAAAAAAAAACTGGTTAGATTTCTTTCATTATTTATACTGAGATCCGATATACATCAGAGAGTTCCGGTTGTTTATTCGATCCTACAAAGGAAAGTTGATTACCTGTAAGGTTTTCTTCAATATCAAAAGGATCGAAACAGTTTTTATCGGAACACTGACATAAATGGAGAAGCCGTCCATCAGAAGGTAAGTATTTTGCCATCGTCTTTTGATAGAATCATTTTCTACTATACCTAGTTGATCAGAAACTAGAAAGTGCAGTGAAAACAGAAATATAACCTCACTCAACTTGTAATTTGCGCTCCGACCTTTGACTTTAAACGTATTACTCATAAATGTTGACCAAACATGGTGCAATTAAATCTGCCTAAAACTAACAGCTATGACCCTTTTCTCCCAGAAGAGAGTTAGGACTGATGTTGATGAAGTAAACTTAGAGATCTAAGGATGGAATAATTTTTTGTGTGACGCACGGTTAAAAACTAAAACTTTCAAAAATTGCACGAGTCAGTTATTAGCACCCTGTAATTTAACTGGTTTTGAAAAGCCAATGCCTTCTACAATGACTTGCGGAAGGAACGGAAACTTTCCCCGATTTTTAACCTTCACAATCTCTTTTATTAAATGTTTCAAGACAGTTCTTATACAGCGTAATGGCTTCTTTCTTATCAGACATTAGTCGAAAGCACTGACTTGAGCAAAGATTCCCCTATTTGTTGACCTATTCAAATTCTTATTTTTTTTGTCGAAAAAAAGGTTACTTTACAGAAACGAAAGATGAACAGAAAACACGATCACCAACCTAGCTGCCAGTTAGCATCGTTCTTTTTTTTCTCTAATATAACAATCGCCATAAGGCGATTGTTATATTAGGTTAGGTATGCCGAAGATTGCGATTTCTAACTGGAAAGTCCGGTAGATTATGTCTTAACTTGGAAATAATGCTAAAAACACATATTTTCATCGACTGAACCTTGAAGATAATTTTAAAAATGTTCCAGTTTGGTTATAATTTATCATAAATGTTCTGAAGCCGTTAGAAGACTGTTATATTAGACTGATAAGGTACGCACAAGAATACGATGTCTAGTTGGAAAAGTCAGATAATGAATATACTTGCATTGATTTTCGCTCTCCCTACAACGATGCATTTGATTTCCTCATCCCGGAGTTTCAGGAACATCCCGTGTGTAATCGAAATCCTCACATCTAAGATATTCGCAATTCGCTGAAACAAACGCACATAAACAAGCTTAATATACAGGGCAGGAAACCAAAACGAAATATAAATAAAGCAAGCAAAAATGACTGGAAAGAAACGAAACTTTAATGTACAAGATTTGTGTGGCGACTACGACGACTAAAACATAATGACAACGACAACTAAAAAAACTAACGGCAGAAGAAGGTATACCAAACAATAGAAACAACGGATGAAAAACTGTCCACGAAAATATGAAATGTTACGTAACAAAAAATAACTGGCGAAACTAATAAGAGTAACAAATATTCACGGGATAATTGAAAAAACGGAAAACAAAGGACAAAAAAAGCGAAGGCACAACAAAATTGAGGCGCTTTGACTACACCGTGTGCGTTTGAAGGTACTCAGTCATCAATTTAAAATAGTTTTGAAAACTGCAGTAAGACTATTAGTCCTATGATCTTGTCCTAATAATTTATTGGAATAAAATCAGATTAAGAACTAGACAATAAATGATGCCAAATGAAAAATATTTAAAGTTTCTCAAGAGATGGATTCCGCAATTTTAAAAAGACGATTTACTCTGTGAATTTTTCATTTTAGCCAAATTTCGTCTTGGGTAGAATTCTAGTTTAAATCATAACTTTTTCCCTTTTTCTTGAGTATCATGGAAGAATTAGTGCTTTTTATATTTTCACCAGTTTACATTGTGAAAACGTAAAGATGGCGGATCCAAAACAGCGAACTTAGCTGAAGGTTATGCACTTTACGCAGTATAATTTCAATGTGTTTTTGCCAAGGTGGATAGTTGTAAAAGAGGGTATTGGCTTTTCAAGATGGAATTTAAATTATACGAAATAAAAGTAGTTTTCCGAGTTTGTTTTTGTCATGAGAGGAACCTGCCATACGACAATCGACGACCAGCACTTTGAGCTAATCAAGGAAAAAAAAAAAAGGCTAATTAAAATAAGTTAGGTATGGTCTCCATTGGCCAAACAGCTTTATCGAGACACCGTACTGTAGCTAGTGGTTGCATTGCGCGTAAGCTATGTCGAATGCGTCGTTAGTAAGTTATTCCATAAGCACGCGTCGGATATCAGAAACGGGGACGCATAGCGCCCAATTAGCGCTATAAATGATCTCAAGTGTAAAAACCGTTAGTGGAGTACCTGTAAAATAGCAGCAACCAAACTCCATGGTTGGGCACAAGCCACGGTATAACTAGCAAATATACCATCCAAAAAAGAAGCAAAACAAAACAATGACTGCATGGAAAATAGGTTTTGCCGATCATGTTTCTCGGGCATGATCATGATATGATCACCCATGTCTAAATTGCCGTCCAAGCAGGCGGCCGTTCACATTTTGCTATTTTTTTTTTTTTTTACAAGCAGAACCAACATGGTTATACAAGTTAAACCGATTGACACATCTACTGATTCTTTTGAGGAAAAAGTGGACTCTGAAAAGTCATCGCCGTCAGTCGACTGGAGAGATTTTGCCTCAAACACAACTCTTCACGGACTGAGATACACAGTACAAAAAAGGCTTTCCATTCCCAGGCGAGCAATATGGCTGATATTTCTACTAGTTGCTAACAGTGCCTATACCTATTACGGAACCATAGCAGTTTTGAAATTCATGGCGAAGCCAACAAAAACAGTCATTACGCAAGAAGCACCGACTGATGGCTTGAAGTTTCCAGCTGTGACAATCTGCAATTTAAACAAGTTTGCGAAATCTAAGATAGATATGCCAGACGAGGATGAAAACTTTGTAAAAATGGGACTGAACATAAGTGGATGCAATGAAACACGTGAAGTCCGTGGGAATCTCACTTGTGGCCAAGCATTTCTGTGTGTTCATGACCTGTATAGCGCTGCTGTAGTACCTGGATGTGATGAAACAACCCGCCAAAACATAAACAGAGTTCTTACTGGCACATCAAAGCGTTTGTTTGACGAAGAAAAGTTTCTCACCAACTATGGGCATGGTTTCGATGGCTTGTTTGTTCTGTATTGTCGCTTCTCTTTTGGTCAAGAGTGCACTGAAAAAGACTTTGTTCCGACTCTTACACAAAGGGGTCTATGTTACACATTTAACTCGGGTTATAGTAACTCCACTGTGTTCCATTCTGAATTTGAAGGTCCTGAACGAGGCCTCAGCGTCCTTCTCAATGTCGAAGAAAACGAGAGCACCGTTGGCCAGTTTTCAACCGGATTGAACGTGGTTGTGCACGATCAGAAAACGTTTATAAACCGAAACCTTGGAGTCAACATACTTCCTGGCGTTCATTCGTCGGTTGCGGTCAAGTTGATAAAGGTTAGTTGTCGATATCAGAGCGTTTAACACATTCCCAGACCAGGAAACTGACCTGATCCAGAGACGAGTGCGGGGCGAGGTGAAAGCCATACAATGACAAAAAGACTTGTTTCGATACCGGGTGAGAAGGGGAGTGGTGGCGGTGATTTCATTATGATCCTATTTCATAAATAAGTTTGCTAAGTTCATTTCGAAGGAAGTTTCTGCTTTAAATCAGAGAAATAGCACTAACGCCTGCGGGCTAGTCTATGGTCTTACCATATTTATAGAAATTGACCAACACAACGAGCTCATTTCTATCAAAACTCTTTCAGCACAAAAGACTTCCAGCACCCTTCAAATCAAACTGCCGTCATCCCAATCAGCTGCCTGGATATGATAATTACACGAAGGACGGCTGTATTTACCAATGCATCACAAATTTTACGTCCGATAAGTGTGGATGTCGTATGCCCAGTTTTCCAGGTACGATTTTACTACTAGTACTACTACCACTACTACCACTATTAGATACACGACCCCTCAAGCATGCAGTGCTTAAACGATAATCGTATTTTAAATAAAGGATTTTACTTTACTTTTTACCTACTACCACTACCACTAGCACGGCCCCGGCCCCAGCCCCAGCCCCGACCACTATCATTACTTTCTGTGCAGTAATTATGGTATATTTCATATATTCACCTTCATGTAGATTTCAAGCAATTGCCGGTTTGTTCCATACAAGATGAGGGATGCATCACAAGGGCAAGAGGTACGTTAGGAAAAATACCATGCATTCTATTGCTCAGAGTTAATTGTTCGCAAAATGTTGTCCTAGGCTTTCTAATTCCATGGAGATTTCATATCAAAAAAAATACTCAAAATCTTTCTCGAAATCACAAATATTATCGTCAAGGCAAATTACATTGTGAGATCGATTCAGTGAAAGTTGAAACATTAAGTTTTAAAATTGACTGGCATATCAAACCCACTGACAACAGTGGGCATTTTCTGGCTTTTGTGTTTCGTTTTTTTTTTTTTTTTCTCATTTTCAGAGCTGAAAATAGTCAGAAGTGATGTCAGCAGAGCTGAAATAGAAGTGTATAATTGCGAAAATGAAACCCTCTTTGTATCTTGATTGATTCTATGGCCGCATTATCGGCTGCGTCGATGGTATGCCAGAAAGTGAACGGTTGTTTCATAACAAAATCCCCTTCTAAAAGTAATGTTCTATATAGCAAATCCCTCCTCCGCGGAATTGCACAACAAGCTTCAGTTTACTGTTCAGGTTTCTTTAGTGTACCAATTCGACTACAGCATCTCTTATTGCCCACAAATTGTCCTCTTAATTTGCGTCCGAACATCGTAGTTTATATTCTAAACTCTTTTCTCGTGGTCCTTTACCATTAAGGCCAATGGCGATAGCCTGAAAACCCCCGACAGTGGCTGACTGCTAGCGCCAGTACATTGCACAAGTTTTTTTTTTATTTTTTTATTTTTAAAATAAGTTTCGTGAATGGATTCGACGACTACTCTAGGATTCATTTCATCGTAAAATGTATTTTTAGTAAGATATGTACTTTTAACATTATTAGGAAGCGTCAACTTACAAGAGTGCTCATGCAGCCACGCCTGCTCAGAAATTGAGTATGAATCACGTGTCTCGTATTCAAAATTCCCGGATGCTCAAGCAATTAAACTAATAAATGAATACATTGGGATTAACGTCAGTGCAGGCTACATGCGGTAAGTGCCTTTCAAAAGAAATAAATAAATAAAAACAGTATGTCAGTCATATGTAAACTTTAATACCCTCGGTTACAACAATCTCCCTAAGCGACAGCATTCACTGTATGAAAATAATAGCAACGTGGAAGGGAAGGAATGATAGAATGGAGAAAGGGGGGGAGGACTGAGCAATTTCGATTTGTATCGGATGAACATTGAAAACATTGTGCACCGGTATTTATATGATAAGTTAAATTATTCTTCCATTTTCATCAGTCCTCGTGATCCGTTTGAGGACATATGTACAGATGACGTCAATAACAGGTTATTTTCTTTATTATATACAACAGATAGATTCTATGTTCAGTAACATCGATCTAAAAAAAGAACATGAGTGACACGCTTGCCTAACGACTCGTTCACCACTTTTTCTGTGATCTATTATTGAACAGACGCACTGCAAAATGGAAAGTATTTGTTAATTCAAAAACCATATCTATATTGAAGATAACTTTCTGAACAGTCTAGAACAAAGTTCACAGGTTTACAGCCTTCATCTTAAGTTATGCAGAATATTTTACATTTTTTCGCACATAATAATCACTTGCCCATATCATTTTAGACAAAACTACATCTTCCTTCAAGTGGGTTTTCAGCGTATGTCTTTCGATAAGCGTGAAGAGTTTGCTAGCTATGGACTAGAGAGCCTTTTTGGTGAGTGAGGTATTAATAACATTTAAAGATTACTACTGTATGAAGCGATTGAGAGACCTTCGCGCGAACAGACCTCCGATCGTGCTATTTGGGTACAACCATTCTGTGTACACGTTCATAGTGCAGTGGCGGATCTAGGGGACGGGCCTCCCCCCTTATTTTGGGTCAACAAAAAACAAAAAATCGCAGAGGGAAGAAAAGCCGGCAGGGCGAGCAAACAAAACCGCCCGCCCCCCTCTTTCCCTTAGATCAAGGTCTGGATCCACCAATGTAGTGTTATCTATTTCTCTGAGAAAATGGAAAATTCTGTTTGTCTGAGGTATTATTATAACTGCTATTTATCTTTTTTTATTGTTTTTTTTTTTTGTATGTTTAATTTTTCCCTCACATGCATATCCGGACATGGAAAGTTTCCCTGTTTTCGTTCGACAGTTTGACAGTTTGAGAGTATTCCCTACAAACTAAGCTATAGATGAAGTAGTTTTACCTGTAATAAATGTAATATCAGCTGCCTTTTCTTTCAGGTGAGCTTGGTGGCAACATGGGTTTGTTTCTCGGATGCAGTGTTCTGACCCTCTGTGAATTCATCGACTTCTTATGGGACGTTCTGATGTCCAAGATAAAGAAGCAACCAACGAATGTAACCCCTAAACCCAATAATTGATCTTAATAAGGAATCCTGCAGATATATCTCTTGGGTGGAGGGGTGAGGAGGGGGTAAAAAGATTGGGTTGCTCGTCCTACCTTTTAGGATTTAAAAAAGCGGCTGTGGTACTTCTTAGGGTGTTCAGCCTCAAAAGGTCCACAGCAGGAGCTTTTGCGGTACCTTTTAGGGTATTGAACAGAAAAAAATATGACAGGAGAAATGTGTTGTTTTACAATTGACACCTCTATATTAGGTGTGACAAGATATTTCAAGCCACTCCCACAAAACAGGATTTTGGTACTTTAGTAGGAGTTCTTTTCAAAATTTCCGACGAGCACCCTCGTCCTTTTTATATGGGTGTTACCCCCCCGGATCGAGTCACATACACACAAGTCGACGTTAGTTGTTGTCTTATTTCACTATTTGGGAGATTAATATTACGACAGTTACTTCACACAGGACGAATTTTAAGATATTCCGGTTTATAATTTTCTCAGTTTCTGGTTATACATGGATGGGCAATTATTGGATAGGAGCTAGAAGAGAGAAAGAAAGAGGGAGAGAAGGGAGTAGGGGGTTGGGAATGGAGAATTCATAAGCAAAATCCTGCACAAAAAAATTGACAAATATATTGATAAAGTTCTTGCATGAAGTGAAGCTGAAAAATGTTATTGCTCAAAAACTCGCTCAACCCCCTACCCCTTCATGAATACGCTGCTCCATTCCTAGCACTGATGAGTATTTCAGTTTAGTTACTCATATATGTGACGAAAAAATATTCATTTATATCTAGTTCTCCTCTCGTCTGTTTGTCATGCATGTAATAGGTGCGCAATGACGTGGGTGCTTGATCGATAACAGCCTAGAAGTGGCCAATTGTAATATGGGAATAATGGTGGTGTTATCTTCGTGCGAGCTAACAATTACTCAGTGATTATCACAGTAACTGGTAGCTAATGCAAGCTAATTTATGTTAGTATGTTCGCACTCAATGATCTTCGTGTTTCAAGCAAGCTGATTGGTACGCTATCACTGGTTAATAAGCACTTAATGACTGGCCCCAGGAGAAACGGTGAGTTTTGTTTCTCCTCAATGGAACATTGAGGTCGAGGGGAAACAAAACTCACTGTTTCCCACGGGACAAGTCATTAATTGTTTTGTTATACCACCCAACACAAAAGTAGAAAAAAAAAAAAAAATGCCAAGAAATCGTTAGTTTGACGTCGGCTGGCTCACAAATTTGCCGCGGTTTCGAGGAGCACGACCTGATCACGTGCAAGTCGAAAGTTTAAGTTGTTGTTTCCCCAGGGAGTTAGTGAGTTTTGATCCACGACACGTGACACGTTCTCCTCCAATCGGAAAACGTATTTGAGTTGGGAGGTATATCAATGAGCATTATTCACCTCCTACCTAGTGAATAATGCGTGATCCAAACAAAAACGTAATGGCCGACGTAAACTCGATTTTCGCCAGTGTTTCTGAATCGGAAATCTTAAGAACACAAGAAGATGCTGTACCAGAAAATACGAAGTATATGAAATTTGGCCTGAAAGTTTTCAAAGGATATTTAAGACTTAGCGGCGTTCGACTTTCTAGCAGTTTCAGGAGATGTATTTGGCAATCAAAGATTTCATTAACCTAAGCCGAACCTGACCGCCAGATCGCTCTTACCCTGCATCGGCAGAAATGAATACCACACGGTTAATTGGCAGAGGCATCAAGCGCTATTCAACGAACGAAGCATCTCCACGTCGTTGTGCAAGGAAATAACTGTGTGCTCTTTCAATTTTCATTTCAAGTGAAAAAGAAAACTTTGATTTGACGGTGAGTTTGTTTTGCAAGCAGACTTTTGATTAAGATCGCTGACTTGAACGCTGTTAAAAGACCATTTTGCTAGATTGTGGCGAGGATTTTCTCGAAGGTAACTAGATTTGCGATGTTTGGAAATTCTGTAAATAGTTTCGCGCATGCTCCGTGCCGTTTGCACGTTTTATACAGATAAATTGAAAGGCCAATTAAATCGACTTTTAATGGTTTCCTTTTCGTCTGTTATGTCGTGTGTATATATACCATAACAATTATTCTTTTCAATCTCGGTTGTAGCGGCAAAATATTCACCTTGATTTCAAAGAATAATTGTTTTAAATTAGATCAATTTAGGAGCACTTGTAATATTATACTCAAGTTCACAAAATTGTACGAGCAGTTTTGCATTCAATGAATAAAGGCACCAAGTAGGAAATATGTGTGCGGAAGTATTATCTTGTTATCTTTGCAGATTCCGATTTGTTGTTTGTTTTGTCAAACAGCTGCATCAGTAAAGTATAAAAAAATATGAATGGAGTCTTGTGGCTACATCTATACGATAAGACTTCAATATTTCCGCCCTTCTCCTCGCCTTACCTTACCTTGCTGAAACATGCCTGAGCATGTATTTAGTCAATATAGAGTGATTTATTTAAGAAAGAGACTTAGGCGAAATGTTCTGGCCACTAGAAAACGTTTCCCATTTAAATCTTATTCACTCATTTTAATGATGATGAAAGTTTCTTCAACGTTTTACAGCCTGTGCGCCTAAGGCCTGGTCCAAACGCTGCTCCACTCATGTGCCGAGCCAGACTTGATTAAGTTCGACTTCAGAGCGACTTTGGAGCGACGGCTGGTTCAGACGGCGTACTTGCGTCCAACCTAATTCGGGAAGCCGGTGGTAACAATTTTCGACGAGAAAATATGCGTTCTGAATTCAACAACTCTGTCCAAATAGAAAAGCTGTGACTAACATTCCAACCTCAAGGTCCAGTGTTTGTCTCGGTTAAATCGACTTGTTAAAGGGAAATCTAGTAAGCTGGGCTATTATCACGACGAAAAAGCGAAAAATGAATTTGCGCCAAAGAAACTCGCTTACACAGTCCCGTTTCTTATAAAACGAAGACATACTGGTATTTTGTTGTCTTTATTTTTAGCGACGACTTTGAGCTTCGTGCATGACTGGTCACGCCACTCAATTTTGAGCCAATTACGAATCCCGTTATATGAAAAATAAATTACAGTAATTTATGCATTAGGTTCGACACATGAGGAGAACGCCGTATGAATCAGCTGCCGCTCCAACGTCGC